ATAAAATCAATTAAATTAAGTATTCAGCAAGGAATGTTTTTATCCTTTTCTGATTTTTCCTTTTTAGGTATTTTCACGTCAATTCATAATAGCTCTGGTCACCAAGTTTTAAATGTGTTGTTTTCTTATTAATTGTTTAATATGAAATAAGATTTTTACCTCCATCATATCAAAATTGCCATTACGCCAATGCGCGGCATTTGCAATGGAGCACCTGAAAATATCGAACATTTCTTGCTACACTGCCCAAATGCACAATAATTTGGCACAATGATCTAGGCCTTCATGCACACGTCCAGTTGCTACGGAATTTTGAGGAGGACCTCTACAACGACTTTTCCAACTTATCACCACTCAACTAATACTCTCCCATAATCCCCCTTCACAAACTCTAATCCCTTACGCACTTTGGCATGTATGGAAAAGTCGCAATCGAAGTATCTTTGACAAAATTAAAATTTACCCTGATACCAATCATATAATAGCAGAAGCTACTAAAATACGCTTATCTAGTAAACACTAATGCACGTACTCGTCAAACCCTTTCCTCAATAACCCTCAAATGGAATCCTCCAGCACAAGGATTCTATAAACTCAGCCGCAATGGTGCCTCCACACCTTCTACAATAAAGCATGGTCTTGCCGGAGTCTTCAGAGACTGGGTTAGACACTGGGTAAGGGGATATGCAGGTCGACGCCATGAAGGCACTCCTACCTCACTGGAACTTCATACCTTACTTGAAGGACTGCGTATAGCTTTACAACATAGCCTGATGCCACTGAAAATAGATGTGGACTCCACTGAGGTAATTAATATGCTCCATACCCATAATCTTCATTACTCATCTGTTCTTTATGAATGCATGTCTCTTCTTCAACAGCTGGGTAATCCACGAGTTTCACACACATACAAAGAGCTTAATGCAGTGGCAGATAAACTCGCAAAACATGGATCCACTTTAGCTATGGAGAATACTCCTGTGATGTTTTTGTATCCTCCACTCTTTTTGAGGGCAGACTTGATGAATGACCATATGGGCACTAGGCAGTTGCGGCGCTCTTCAACTCATATGGACAATACTACAACTTTTTTTAAATTAAATTCAGCACCAACTACTTGTAAAAATTACACGGGGCGCCCTATTTGGTCGCCCCCATTTAACCTATACCCATTTTTTAAAAAAACTTTAACTTGTACCCACTTTCTAAACAACTTCAGCCCCCTTTCTCCTCCTCCTTCTCCTCCTTCGTTTTCTTCTTCTTCTTCTTCTTCTTCTTCTTCTTCTTCTTCTTCTTTCTTCTGCTGCAGTTGGTGCTGCTATGAAACTTCATTTCATGGGATGATTACTATAAGTATGTTTATCAGATTATTTAAAAATAAATTATAAATAATTACGTAAGTTAGTAGACAATAATTTGTGAATATTTCCACGTACGAGAAGTTTAAGGTCACACTTAGTGTTTTTTTTCATGATAATTATGTTCTTTTCACGTTTATTTATTTCCAAAATTTTATGATTTAGATACTGTTGGCAATCTGATTATTTTATAGTAGTCTGATTATAACAAAACTAATGAATCCAAGACAAAAAGAACTTCAGCTTATTTAGTGCTGAAGTTTTTACAAATGAACTAAATAACTTCAGCATCTTCTGCTTAAGTTTTTGAACAAGCTTTATGATAAAACTAATGAATCTAGGACAAAAAAAACCTTCAGCTTATTTAGTGCTGAAGTGTTTACGAATGAACTAAATAATTTCAGCATCTTCTGCTGAAGTTTTTGAAAAAGCTTATCCAGGACAAAAAAACTTCAGCTTATGTAGTGCTGAAGTATTTATAAATGAACTAAATAACTTCAGTATCTTCTGCTGAAGTTTTTGAAAAAGCTTAATGACAAAACTAATGAATCCAGGACAAAAAAACTTCAGCTTATTTAGTGCAATTACAAACAAAAACTTCAGCAAATAGAGAACAAAACTTCAGCTACTATGCTTAAGTTCAGCAATTACAAACAAAAACTTCAGCAAATAGAGAACAAAACTTCAGCTACTATGCTTATGTTCAGCATACAAACAAAAACTTCAGCAAATAGAGAACAAAACTTCAGCTACTATGCTTAAGTTCAGCGATTACAACAAAAACTTCGGCACACTTGGTTCAGCACACTTGCTACTTCAGACCCATCTACTAGAATGCTGAAGTTTGCGTGATTGCCTTTGCTACTTCAGCCCCGTATGCTGAAGTTACGCGAAAAAGTGGGTACGCTTGCAATTTTTTTGCAAAGCGGGCACAAGTTAAAATGTGACCCAAAAAGCGGGTATAGATGCAAATGTCCCCAACTACTTGTACAAGTTTGAGACAACATTGCCCGCCAGTTTAGCACCTTTTTGTACTATGGAGCCATCCAGGCCCACCACTCCTTGTAATGTGACTTAATTTATTAAGGAAAATTTTCATAAGGCACTATCTTTTAGTAGTAATTAGCCATCTATAGATATCATTTGCTATATTACGGATTATAGATACCTTTTCTGTGGTTATAAGATGTATTTGATGTATTTAAGCTATTGTATTCATGAATAAAGTAGCAAAAATAGGCGTGAATCAGGGAAGTCCAGCTAATCAGTTGTTGTATTCGAGTGTATTCGACTGCATTCATGGAGTGAAACATGGGATTACAGCTGGACAAATTATTGTATTCGACTGTATTCACGGCGTGAAATAGGGGATTACACTGTTTTTAAAACGAAAAGTGAATCAATTAACAAAATAGACTCCTAATATAACTCAACAAACTCAATTATAACACACAAATTTTGTATTTTCAGTTATAAAAAAAATTCTCAACCGAAAAATACCCCAAAAATATAGCAATCTTCAGAAAAATTATATAATACATCTGAATACATAAATTATATTAATTAAAAAAATACATGAATACATTCATGGAATATAGCGAGACAGTAAATACAATAAAATACATAGAATACAGCGGGATACATTGAAATACAATGAAAAAAAAGACAGTGAATACAATGAAATACATGGAATACAACGAGATACATTGAATTACAATGAAAAAAAAGACAATGAATACAATGAAATACATGAAAATACATTGAAATATATTAACAGAAAATCAAGTTGCTCAGCCCCAAACTCCGTCATCTTTGTTCAAGAACAAACCCTAATTTTTCGTCGAATCCGCCGTTCACCGGAAGCCGGTAGTGAAAACGCGCCGCCTTGATGCGCCTGAGCAGAAGCAACCGCCGATAAGACTGCCACAATGGCAAAACCACATAAAATTAAAATCATATCTTAGAATCAAGGTCAAGAAGACAGATCTTAGATATACCGTTTCCCTTTATCTTTAATTGATTTTGTAAACGGTTAAAGTAGATTTGGAAAAAATAGGAAAAACATAGTAGATCTGATACATGAGGGGGTTAAGAAACTTTGTTACCTCGTTAAAGCAAGAGAAAATGGTAACTTAGTGCTTTCATTATTGAATAGCGTATCAAAGTAGAGAGGAAAAAAAAAAGTGTAACTGAATAGCGTATTTAGTGGTTTAGGGGTAGGAGGTAACCAAAATTAAATATTTTGCTATAAATATTAAAAGTATCTATAAAATATAATTTTTTTAAATAGTATTTATTTTAAATAAATAAGGTGTTAACCTTTTTATAGGAGGTAAAAATTCCTAAAATACAAGTATCTTTTTTGACCAAAAAAAAAAAAGAAAAGCTCTGGTCCACCTTTCCTAGGAAAGCGAACCAAAAAGTAAAAAAAGGAGTTTTAGAAGGAAACGAATAATTAATAGACAAAAGAAAAGTCGAAAACAAAATAGGCAAAAGAGTTGCCCTCCTCTTTTGGCGAAATGGCGTCTTGACCACTTAAACTTGTACCCGTTTGTAAAGCCAATACATAAATTTACAATTTTCCATTTGAACATTCCAACTTGACAGAATGAGTACTAATAAATCACTTTGACCATTGACTATGCTTATGTGACAGTGATATAGGTGATGTGGACAAAATGCGTATCAATCACGCATAAAATGCGCGTGAATGCAATAATCCGATTAAAGAAAATACTATAATCATTAGGAAAAAATTAAAAAAAAATAAAAAAGAAAAGGAAAAAAAACGACCCCTAGCCTGCCAGTACTCATTTCCGCTCTCTTTCTTCTCTTCGACTTAAGCGAGGAGAGAGAACATCAGAAACTTTAATTCCGGCCAAACTTCGAACATCAGAAGATTGTGTATTTTTACTTTTATCTTACGATTTTGGAGTTTTAGAAAAGATTGGGTTATGAGTGGTTGCCAGCGAAGTGGAGGTGGCAGCCATTTAAGTTTTATGGTGGTCAAAAGTACTCACCACTCTAAACCACCAGTGTCTGAAGAAAACCCTAACATCGAATCTCTTTGCCAAAACAACAACAAAAAGGGCAGATATTTGCAATGGTATTCAACGGCCTCCACTGTTTCAAAATCATGGATTCCTATTGAATTTCTAAAATTTCAAAATTTAATTTTTTTCTGGCCTAATCATGACCATAGTGGAGTTGTGAAATTGATTCAGAATAAGAGAGAAAGGAACAGTAAGGAAAAAGAGAAAGGAGAAGAAAGAATAAGAATAAGGTAAGAAAGGGAGGTGGGTGAATGGAGAAGAAGGTAGTGTCAGGTCTTTTTCCTCCTTTTTTTTGTTTCTACTTCTTTTTTGTTGATTTAGTATTTGAAAATGGGACCCACAAGTAACACTTGTCAAGTAATAAATAATCTAACATATGACGTGTTGTACATGTCAGCGCAAGTGATATACACGCTTGGATGTATTTATTAGTACTCATTCTGTCAAGTTGGAGTGTTCAAATGGAAAAATTATAAGTTTATGTATCGGCTTTACAAACGGGTACAAGTTTAAGTGGTCGGATGCCATTTCGCCTTTATTTTTTTCACCAGTAGAGTTTGCCCTACTTGCTTTACCGTATTTTTTCAATTTCCAGCGCGGAGGAGAAGATGAAGCCTGCCACAAGAAAATCATCGATTCCCCAAGATATAATATTTCAAGTATTTTCGTGGCTTCCTATCAAGTCTCTTATGCGTTTCAGGTGCGTTTTCAGATTTTGTAATTCCCTTGTATCAGAATCAGTTTTCGTGGATATACATCACTGTCGCTCTATGATTCGTACCGGTGGAACCAAATTCGTTGTGTGCCGAAATTGTCATATGCACATTTATACTCCCGTCTTCATATTGAATATAGTGATAGCGATACCGTATAATGTGCGTTAATGGTTTGTTTTGCTGCTTCACGAGATTTGCGGAGCCTGTTGCAATTTGTAATCCTAGTACAAGAGTAGTAAGATCTCTTCCGTCTGTTGAAATAAATTACCGTGCTAACTATTACTATCATTAGGTTTTGATCCAGAAGAGAAGACGTATAAAGTATTGTTGATACTTAATGATGATGAATTAAGAACAGTGTCCACAAGAACCTGGGTTTTTACATTAGGCGCAGATAGAGAGATTAAAAGTGTCACTAGTTATCATTGGATAAAAAAAAGGAATATACATTAGTGGAGTTATCTATATGTTGAATATTGTCAGAGCAGAGACATTCATAGTGGCATTTGATGTTAAAACCGAAAATTTAAGAATTATCACATTGTGGGATAACTCATACGTATCATTTACAGGTTGAATTAACAGAAATAAAAGGCAAATTAGCAATCCTTAATTGCGAGAAGAAATGGTATTATGGGGAAGAAGATATGATTATGTGGATTTTAGGGAAGACAGGAAAAGAAGAATGGGAGAAGCATATCTTTACAATGGAAAGGTCCAGACTCTGAACTGTCAAAATCATTTATTTCCGAAATAATTCGCAGTTGTTGTGATGGGGAGATTTTATTTCCCATGGCGATCAAGTCATCTGTTTGTGTTATGATGTAACAAAAAAGAATTGGCGACATTTTGAAATCCAAGGGCTTCCAACAAATAGTTTGATCCGTGGCATTATTAGTTGCGATGAAAGCCTCTTCCCAGTGGAATTTTTTTTATGTATAAACTGCACGACATTTTTATTTTTGCTCCTTATACTTTTCTCAGTTGAAGACATTTCATATATTTTGAAACATTAATTTCATCAACTTCTGGAGTAATTATATTCTTCTCTCATGAACGTGTTGCAGTATTGTTTAATACTCGAATCATTGTTCATCCCTATCTACTTTAGACTCTGGTCTTCTTTTGTGATAGTATTAGGCTATATATTTCCTGAACAAAGTAATTGATGATTCAATGCATGGATCTTCCAACTACAAGTTACTATGTAGAAAATTGAAGAACACAATTGTTGGGTTTTGTTAAGCTTAAAAAAAAAATAATGTTGAAGAAGATAAAGTGGGTCTAATAGTGCAAATTACCCATAAAATATATAGACAATAGAGAACTGCACCAAAAAGAACATATATACACATTTTAATTTAGCTGAAACTTGAAGACCCATGTAGTTTTCATTATTGAGGTATTCATATACTGAAGCCAAAAAATGTAACAGAACTCATTATTAAGAAATTTGTTTTCTCTCTCTAAATTATGAGAAGTCAATATCAACAAATCTTTAGATATGCTATTCCGACATCTCGTACACAATTCTGAATATTCGAAGAAAATTAGTTCAAGGTTACTAAAAGAAGAAGAATTGTATCTCAGTTATATATGGAGTTTATGATTGAAGGAACTAGAAAATATTTATCAAAAAGAAAAAATTACTTTTGACCAAAACAATACTTTTAGCTAAAAAGAAGCGGGTCAAATAGGCTATAAGCGTAAGCGTTATTGTTAATTAAAAGGGTATGATGCACTTATTTTACGTTTGTTTTTAGCTTTTCTCATGGTATTTATATAAGAAATATATACTTCCCGTCGATCATAAAATATTAGTAGTGCATACAAAAGAAAGACTAACCAAGACTGCTTCTCATTAACATTATTACTACCATTATAATTCTTATTTAATTATTTTATTTTACTATTATGAAAGCACTGTTAAATTATTAACTAATTTACTTAAGTTAAGGTGTTTAGTTGCAAATTGTTAAGAAATTGTAGAACTATTATAAAATATAGTGTAAATGGTATTTGGATTTCTTATTATGACGAAATTGTTAAAGCAAACACTTCGTGGTCCCTAAAGTTCAATAAGACATCACTAATTTTCCCCTTTATTATCTCCCATTAGATTTGGAAAAGCTCCTAAATAAAATTAAGGGTGAAAATAATTTACATCCCTCAAATTTGTTTTAAAAATCAAACTCATCCCCCAACTATGAACAATAGTCATTCTCATCCTTTGATCCTACTGCAATGTCTATTTTACCCTTGATATTTTTTATTTTCCATAAATGTAATATCTTTTTATTATATATGATATTATAATTAGAAAAATCATATTATAAAATATATTACTACTTTTATGATTATTATTTCAATATCATGTGTATTAAGCATGCATATAATGTATGTTTGCGTGGGTCCGTGAGACTTTAAGTTCTATTTTTCTCTTATTCTCCACTGTGTATATAGATTTTTGAGTTTTGGTTATATTAATAAACCTTTTCTAAATTGTAAAAAAAATAAAAATTCATGTAGAGTATAAATAGATGGCTTTTAGGAATTTGTTATAAAATTTACCTATACTTTCACCCTTTTTTATTACATGCATTGACTAATTTACGAAGTCTCACTTTCTTTATTCTCAATTTTACAAATAAATTTAAGTTTTTGACTTCTACTAATAAGTTTGTTGATACGGGCAAATTCCTGTCAAGTTTCTAATGCGTTGCAATGTGTTTCTAAATGTTGTAATTCCCTTATATTAGAATCAGTTTTTGTAGATATACATCAATGCCGCTCTATGATTTGTACGGATCAGAGTCGTGTGCCAAAATAAGCATTTATACACTATAGAGCAAAAGGAAAGAGGAAAAACCTCTCGTCTTCATATTGGTATTTTGAACAAAATCTCTTTTACAAGCGTATAATGTGTGCTAATGGTTTGTTTTGCTGTTCGACGAGATTTAATTTGGAGCCTGTTGTAGTTTGCAATCCTAATACAAGGGTAGTAAAATATCTTCCTCGCCTGAAAGAGAATGCTTAAAAAAGAGGTATTATCACTTTTAACCTGCGCCAAATATATTCGATAGTAGAAAAAGTATATAAATTTTGTATACACTTTTCTTGCTCTGAAAAATGAATATTCAATGTTAACGAAATCTTAAAATCTGCTATTTCAGGCAATCACAACCTTAGGAAGAAAAAATTCAATTCAGGAAAATCATCAAAGAATTCCTAAAATTATAAGAAGAATGATTACAGCCCCTTAGAGTTAAAGTAACTGGAGGAAATGATGAAAGTAAAAGGAAGAACAATTTGGAGGTGATAAATTAACAAATAAGAAAAGCATCAAACTTTAAATGAATAAGTGATCAACAACTAAAACAGGAAAATCAAAAATCTAAATTGGATAATCCTAAGAACCTCTCAATGCTTTAACCCCTGTACACCAAATTCTTAAATTCCCACACCTACAAAGATACAAATATATCTACAACCCTAATAAATGATTTTTACAAATAATATAATTTAATTTAAATAACCCCTTTATCTTCATGTAATTAATTTAATTCATATCCTCACAAAGAAAATACTCAATTCAGGTTCACTACTCCCATCTGGACTCAACATGTATAGGGTTTCCGAATCCTTTGATCCCACTACTCGCTCAAAATGTGCTCTCATGTACGCCATCTCATCGTCCACGTGTCCTTCCATGTCGGATTTCGTCGGCGGCAACACGCCGGCGCCCATGGACACCGCCTTAAGAACCTCCATGAGATGGAGATCTTCCTCCGTGGCATCTCTCCTTGCACAATAGCCACTTTTTTTCCCATTTACAAACATAGTCCATAATGGCTCATCAAGAAGCTTTGTTTTCTCCTTATGATTATTATTATTATTGTTATTATCGGGTCTTTTCTCGCATTCCAACGCGATTCGCACCATCCCAAGGCTCATTTCCTTTTGCAACACGTTGGTTTGCATGGCCAGGTCAATGACCAGATTAGGTAGAGTTCCTGGGTTTTCTTGAATCGAGAGGCTGACACGGCCTTTCCTGTATCCGAATAATGTGCCCGTGACACCGGTTTTGTTTTCGGGTAAACGGCCGCCGGGGAGGGAAGGTAGTTTACATACGGGTGTGATAATAGGGAAGGACCGGAACACATTGCGAAAGGCTCTGAAGATTTTTACGGGCCTCTTTTTATTATTTTTCGACGAAGGCTTGACGAGGGATAATGGAGTTGTAGGTGGAGTAGGTGGTGGTGGTGGTAACTTTGATTGCGGCTCTTCCATTGCTGGTTAATTATTCCACCTTTAAATTAAGGTTGGAGATTTAGAACCAGCAATGGAGGAATTGCCATTACAGAGAGATTATTAGGGTTGTTTGAATCTGCTAGGATTAGGTTTGTATGGAGGATTAAAAAAGAGGTTGATGTAATTTGTGTTTTTCAATGGATTTGATGTTTGAATTTTTTTTTTTTTTTTGTAAGTTTTGGTTTCTTTGGCTTGAGTTTACTTTCACGATCCATTGTATTCGGGACCTGAATTTGTGGAGTTGGATAGAATTATGATTAACCATTTTTCTTTGGATAAAAAACGTAGAGATTTTACGTTATCATATTCGCTATGATGAAAATTCAAAAATTGCTTCGAACCAAAAAATTTCGTGGAATTTACCTCATTTAAAAGGGTGGGGGAAGGTGGATTTTACTTTTGGTAGCTCAATTATTGAAATTGCTAATTTTACTCCTCATGTTGCCCAACTAAAAATAAATGCGTGTAAAGGTTTTATACAAATCAGACGAATTTCTTACTATTAAACCACACGTTATAGATTTTGGGAAAAAGGCTAAATATATCTCTTTACTTTCAGATATTGTCTATATTTAATCTCTGTTATACTATTTGGCGAAATTTATCCGTATCATTGTATTATCCGGCCAAATTTATCCCTACCATAAGCAAACTTTTAAAATTACTCCTCAGTCTGTCAGGTGACCCTGAATCTCCCAAATTATTTTAATTAAGTCACTTATTCTTCTTCTTGATCCACTATTTTCGATAATTGGCATTGACCTGCTTTCTTAATTGAAAAAAATAAGAGAAAGCAATATAAATAATACAATGGTTAGTAAATAAAGTATAGTAAATTGAAGAGTCTAAATTAGGTAGCTTGTCTAAATTCTAAAAGTATTTACTCCAACTTTAATGAATTCGTTGCACCAAAGGTATGGAGACTTTGGAAGTATTAGTGATATACTACTAGAAAACTACCAAATCTCGTCCACCAAAATCACCCGACATCGGTCGAAATTTGAGGAAAAGCGATCGATTTCCAACTGCTTTTAATTAGTCGGAGAAATAATGGTCACTATGGTGGCAACTGAAGGCGGTCACAATTTTTTGACTGAAGTCAGTTAGTTAATTCAACGCTTTGACTAACAACAAAAATAAATATACCGACCGAATTCGATTGGTATTATTTAAATTATTTTTTATTTATTTTTCAAAATAGTGACCGACATCAGCCGGAATTATAAATATAACATAATTTTGTAATTCTTTGTAAATTGTAACAGATCGATCGAAACTGGTTAGTATACTAAAAAATAAATAAATTTAAAAAGTAATTTCCGACCGACTTCGGTCGGAAATTTCAAAATTATACATATCTCATATTGAAATATCCGACTGAACTCGGTCGGAAATTTTGAATTTTTGGAAATAATATGAGATTTTCGACCAACTTCGGTCGATTTTCTGGGTAAAACCGGGCAGAATATGCCTGCTTTTAAGCTACACCACCTGCCAATTACAACCAATATCCATCCTATAATATCAACATTTTATTGCTGCCATTCAACCACAATTAACCAACAACAACAATAATTAAC